GCACGGTGGTGCATGCCTGTAGTCCCAGCTACTCAGGAGGCTGAGGCAGGAGACTCGCTTGAACCCAGGAGGTGGAGGTTGCAGTGAGCCGAGATCGTGCCGCTGCACTCCAGCCTGGCGACAGAGTGAGATTCCATCTCAAAATAACAACAATGTGTGTAGAACAGTGCGATGCCCGACATACAAGTACTCAGAAATTACTTTTGCTATTTTGGCTGCTGCCAGCACGGCACTCCACATGGTGAGATCTGCTGACAGCTGTCACCTGCACCAGACTGCGCACTCTTTGAAGTTAGACTCCTCCTAAGTCACCTTGACACCCGCAGCCCCGACCACCTCCTAGTTCTGCCTAAACAATTGATGTCCAATGTGCTGGGGCAGGGGCCAAAAGTTGTGGATCAGAGGCAAGGAGGGGCCACGCACGTCAGATCCTCCGCTTGTCATATGAGGCCTAGGAGGGGAGAGAATGGAAAACGCTTCCCTCACCACAAATATTAAACAAGGACCTGTGACAGTCACTGGACTAGGCCAGAGGGCGAGGATGCGGAGCTGGGCGAGACATGTGTCCGGGTCCTGGGACTCACATTCAAGGAGGAAACAGGGATGAACAAACGCGTCAAGGTGGGGGAGGCCTCCTCTCTGGATGGGGCCTCACGCCCACCCCCCACCGCCTATCCCCCCTTCCCTCGTCCCCTGCCCTAGGTGGCATACAGACTGCGGACCCTGCACGTGCGGGCCTTTCTCTACAACAGCGAAGTGAACCGAATGTAAGTGGGACGGTGACCCCTGAGCCCCAGGTCTTCTTCCTCACCGGGCCCCGGCCCTCACTGTCGCCCTCCCACACAGCGATTCCCCAGCACCGGCCTCAGAAAGCCCCGTTCAATACTGGACGGTCACGTCGCAGTTCCAGTACCGCCCTGGGGGCCCTGTCATCCACTTCCTGAACAACCAGCTGCTGGCCGCCGTGGTGGAGGCGTTCTTACACCAGCAGGTTCCACGGAGGCGTGAGGAGCCCAGGAGCGACGTGGTCTTCCAGCCCCTCTCCAGGGAAGACGTGCGTGATGTGACGGCCGGTGAGTCAGTCCATCCGGGGACGGTGTGGGACAACTGCGGTGGGCGGGTGAACCCAGGGTGCTTCAGCCCACACACACACGTTAATTTAGTTTTTCTTTGTTTGGTTTTGAGAGAAAACATAAACATTTTATCCAGCTGCTTTTTGGATTCAGGAGCAGGAGCACCCAGTGCTGCCAAGGCAGCCACATGCGTCCGGCTTCACGGAGCGAGCGCTCCAGCCCCAGCCTTGCTGACCGCGGCTGCCCACGGAACGGCAGCAGTTCATTTTCATAAAATTGCTACTGTTTTCTTAAAGTGCCATTGCACTTAAACATACACAAGGGCATCGCCATCGTCTCTGCCCCCCAGCTGGAGGACGTGAAGCTGGAGACTGGCCAGGGAAGGATGTGCTTGCACCCTCCCCAGGCCAGGCCTCAGTACCCCACCTGAAAATGAGGTGGGGTTTCTGAGCCGCCTTTCAGCGCTGACGGCCCAGCCCCTGTTCTCCCGGAACAGGAAGAAGTTGGCAAGCTTGTCAGAGAAGGAAAAGAATAACGCACCCTATTTTCTGGATGGGGCAGAGAATAGAGGAGTGGCCATCCCAAACATAACAGAAACTGCCGTTTGACTCGGGTCTAGGAGCAAGCAAGAGCTTCTTCTAGAATCCAGGTTAAGCCCCCTCTCTCCTGGAGGAATAAGGAGAAATCCCTCAGAACTACTCTGTGTTGGCGAGTTGGGGTCGGAGGAGCAGGAAGGCGAGCTCTGATTGTGCTACTAAGGAGAGCCTTGGCCGGGCACGGCGGCTCACACCTGTAATCCCAGCACTTTGGGAGGCCAAGGCGGGTGGATGACCTGAGGTCAGAGTTCGAGACGAGCATGGCCAACCTGGTGAAACCCTGTCTCTACTAAAAGTACAAAAATTAGCCAGGCATGGTGGCACACAGCTGTAATCCCAGCTACTCAGGAGGCTGAGGCGAGAGAATCACTTGAACCCGGGAGGCACAGGTTGCAGTGAGCTGAGATTGTACCACT